TACAAGCACTTCCGAGAGAGCCATATCGACCGCCCCTCTAGGTTACCATGGAAACAGAGCTTTTTATTTCCTCCCTCCTGTTTACCTTGGTCAGGGGACTGCGGCAGAAAGCAGCCTGTCGCAGAAGGAGAAGGGAGGGCTAAGCGGGGAGTGGGAGCGGGAGGGAGAATCAGCTCGCCTTAAACCAGATCATTCCGGTTCGGAGTGGCTCTCCCCCGCAGCCCTGGGCCCCTCTGCAGTACTGCACTGCAATACCTCGTGGGGGCTGTGGAGGGAGGGGGGCTCCGGAGGGAGGGGGGCTCCTCCCGTGCAAAGCCTAGTGGGAAAGGTCCTAGACCCATGCTACCCCTGTTTGAGTTCCACGCAGATCTTCCTGTCTCCCAGGCCAAGGGCTTGGCATTCAGGGCATCCTCTGAGGGTGGTGCCCAGGGTGGTTGCCATGTTCCTCAGGTTGTCATTACGCAAGTGTCCACCCCAGTATAAAGACATGGGAGCTGAAGTCCAGGCCTTGCTCTGTGTACTCTGAGTGCCCTGGCTGAAGTGGCCAAGAAGGGTCCCTGGTGTGACCTCGAACTTAAAATTTCCCAACTGCCTTAGAACGAGACACCCGATTATGTATCAGACCTTCCCGAGCGCAGCCGGAGGGGCTCTCCCTCACTTTCCACCGGCAGTTTCTACCGCAGTTCTGCCGGCTTATGTCGCAGGCTTCCTCCCCGTCCAGGAGGCACCAGAAGGTGGTTGCTGTCCCTGGAAAACTAGCTCCCGGTGCTCCTCTGAGGGCATCATTACACTGCCAACTTATGCTGTCCTCAGTACCTGGTTACTCTAACTCTTACTCTCTAACTCGTTTCCTGGGTAGGACCCCTGCCTCTGAGTGCAATCTGCCAGAATGCAAGGCCGCGTCTCCTGTGGCAACCCAGCTGGGCTGCCTGCCCACTAGATGCAGTCAACGTGGACACGGGTCGCTGCAAGCCTCGGTGGCCACACGGCCTGGCTCTGAGCTGCCCGCCTCGCTGCCCGCCAGAGGGCGGCAGAGAAAACACCCTGGGCGGCTTCTCGGTGAAACACGAGGCCATCTTACCTTCCGAAAACCCTGACCTGACTCGGCAGCAGTGTGCACACTGGGAGCTTTGCCGGCACAAATAACTGGCGGTGACCCCTGGGGGACCTAGGGTCCTCCTCTAGCACGGCTTCTTGGCCCAGCCCCAGGCTTCACCGTGCCGCAGTGCGGCTCCGAGGAGCCACGCCCATCTGGGGAAGGGTCCCTTCCGTGCTTTAAGTTCTTCTATCCTCCTGTGAAATAAGGCTAAGCCCTTCAAGCTTATATTCCAATGTTTTTGTTTGGTTTCTGGTTTGGTTTGGTTTCGAGAAGCCCCAGCTGTCCTGGAACTCACTATGTAGACTAGGCTAGCCTCAAACTCAGAGGTCCACCTGCCTGGGTCTCTCAAATGCTAGGATGAAAAGCATGTGCACACGCTCCACGGCAATCAGCTATGCAGAAAGTGTACGGAGAAATGCTGGCGTGACAGCAGATACGGCTTTGCCACCAAGGAGGGAAAGTTGCCGATGCAGTCTTGGACCCGTGGTGTGCTGGCCCCATGCTCATCACTCCTAAGGGTTCCAGGCAGCGCAGGGTGGGCAAAGAGCAGCGGCTGACACCTTTGATCCTGAATCTGAGTTTGCTTGTTGGACGATGGAGTTCTTGAAGTCAGTAAGGGCCTTCCTCAGCCACCGGACAGTAAATAAATTTGCTTTCTTACAAAGGGGTCAAAGAACTTTTGGAAATTTGCAGTAAAGGCCAGAGCCTTCTCAGTTCCAGACTCCTGGCAGCTTGAGTTAGAAGGTTTAAGAAAGATAACCGATCTGCCTGTCCCTTCTGAGGAGACACGCCCCGATGCCTGCTTTATGTCACACGTACAGCTGCTGTAGAGATCCTGGCTTGGTGTGGGTTACCAGAATAGTAAGTGGCCCAAGTGTGCAGCTGTCTCTGTCCCTTCGCTAGCCAAGGAGCCATACTGAGCAGGCCTTCCTGCCTGGCGGCTTCCTGAGCTGAGAAGCCCCACTTCTGTACCTGAGGCTACGGTGTCACGACCTTAGGGGAGCAGGATGGGAACCTGCAGGATCTTCTCGGCATTGTAAGGCCTCCACCTCCTTTTGCCTGGCTAAGGAGAAAATAATGTTCTTGCTTGAGACTATGAAGGGACAAGATAGCAGGGAGTAAGCTTTGGGCCAGATAATAAAACCACACACTTAACACAACAGAGTGGGCTGTCTGTGGTTTTGTTGTTTTAAATATACCTCCTTCTCTTTATTTCTTCCCCTCCAGGACTGGCTCTTAAATTAAAAGGTTCCCAAACACCAGGCTGTATCTGAGCTAGTGAGGAACCTAACAGCCACACCCTCTGAGTCCCTCAAATTACAGACTTAGCCAGAAAAGATCCATTCGCAGTATCCAGGAGAACAAGGTGCTTGTTTGCTTTAAGGCAAAGGGGATGCTGAGGATTCATCCCCGGGCTCACAGGTCCCCACGTCCCTGCTGTATCCCCAGTCCCCACTCTAGTCTAGCGCTACAGTGCTAAGCAGTTTAGGCCGTGATGCTTAGTTATTGTTATTTGTTTTAGATACTATCCCTTTCATCGCTAATTAAACTGTCACCTAAATGACGGTCTCAGTTTGAGACCTCCGTGCTCCAGAGAGCAGCAGTGACCAGCATCTATGCAACAGTGTCATCTCGGAGCTCTTTACAGTCACTCCAGCCTCACAAGGGCAGCAGGGGACACTATTAACCCCACTTTAGGGGGAATGACACTAAAGCATTTGACTATTACTTCAGTGGTTTTTGAGAGGGAACTGGTAAGCCTGTGTGATCAGACTGTCATCCCAACACCAGGGTGAGCGGGCAAAGACAAGCATGCTCATTCATTCTGGCCTTGGCTCTGCAGGTCTCGGCAGGACAGCTGAATCAGAACTGAAGTTTGGGGATTTAGACCTCATTCAATGACTGTGGATTATTTTTTGAATGACTGCGCGCAGAGGCTAACCCTGGGAGGTGCGTCTCTCCTACCCGTGTGTACGTTGTAGTTCAAACCCCGTGCTGCCACGCTCTTCCCGGCTGAGTCAGCCGTCAGCTCTGCATGGCTATAAACCAGGGATTACAGGTTAGCTTTGCGGCTGGCTCTGTACGTCCTGCTCCTCTTACAGCCTACTCTGTCCAAACCTGGATCACACAGTGGTCACGGCACAAAGAGGGCACTCACCTACAAACTCCAAGCTCAGCGGACCAACAACTGGAGCGTCGGACCGAGGGGTAGCGGCCACCCAAGGCCAGTTATAGAGTTGTACAGCCTTTGGCCAGCATCCTACTCACAGGTGCCTGACCCATAAGGGACCTTGGAAATCCACTTCCTCTGACTGACCCAAGAAAAAGTGTTACACGCAGGAGGCAGGAGCAGAGCGAGCCCTACCTATCCCAACCCCTCCTCTCTTTCTAACACTGCTAATCTGTGGTTGGGGCGTGTGTGGCTCTTTATATTAAACCCCCGCAGAAGGCCTTGTGGGTGAGAGCAGAGACACGGACTGGTGTCTGAAGGCAGCATGCACGCAGCGCCGCAGACTAACCACAGGTGATGCGGAGACACTAAGCGCTCCGCTAGAGTTTCTAACAAACTAGGATTTTATAAATGTGACCAGAAAAGCGACATCATACAAACCCACTGAGATACGGCAACCCCTCCCCTGGGCCTTGCTTAGGAGCCCAGTCAAATGCAAGCAAGAGACTCCTTCGGAAACTGAAGGGCGGCTCAAGGTGGCTCGGCAGTCCTGAGGAGTCCAATTCACAACCACCTGGAACTTCAGCTCTGGGGGACTGGTCTCTTGTTTTGCTTTTTGTTTATTTGTTTTGAGACAGGGTCTCTATGTCATCCTAGCTATTCTGGAATTCACTATGTAGACCAGGTTGTCCTCAAACTCATAGAGATCGATCGGCCTGCCTCTTGTCTACAGAGTGCTAGGATTAAAGGTGTGTGCCACCATGCCTCTTTTTCTTTCTCTAAGAGTCTATTTCAAAGTCCTGGCAGGTCAAATGTATGGAAGTTAAAGGGACTTACTTCAGATTCTTGGTAGGTCTGAGGAGGGGTGCGTTTTAGGAGGAAAACAAGCTGAAGGAGGAAAGATCGACCGGCACAGGACATTTTAAGGACTGTCTGTATGGTGGAGGAAGGAGCACAAACCCCTTCTCCTCTTTGGAGATTTACATTGTAACAGCCAAAAAAATCTGTCCTTAGAAAAAGTCAATGGAGCCGGGTAGTGGTGGCACACGACTTTAATCCCAGCACTCGGGAGGCAGAGACAGGTGGATATCTGTGAGTTCAAGGCCAGATTGGTCTACAAGAGCTAGTTCCAGGACAGGCCCCCCAAAGCTACAGAGAAACCCTGTCTCGAAAAACCAAAAAAAGTCAATGTAAATAGAATTGAGTGTGTCCAATCCTAGAAGACAGGCCTTAAAGTGACCCAATGTGGATGGAATGTCCTTGTCTACTCTGGAGAAAGGTCAGAAGGTGAAGCAGGGTAAGAATTGTAGTTCCATGTCCACAGAACCCCAGGCCAGGACTCCAACTCCAGCCTTTTCTTTGGATTGTGAAGTCCTATGACTGTTCATAGAGCTCACATACCCCAGACTTCCCTGTATCTCCTCCAACCCTTCAGGGAAGCCTCGACACCACAAACCTGCTTGGCAGTATATGCTCAGCTGTGGGGTCTAGGAAAGGGCACGGGGAGGGGCTTGCCCCACAGGTGCTCCCTTGCACAGAGCGAGCTCTACTGAGAGGGTTCCCGTGGGTGCAGGAGATCTGGAAAGGGAGCAGACAGAACCCATCACAGGTGGGGTGGCAGTGGAGGCACACAGATGTGACAGAGCAAAGCTGACTCTGGTGGGGACCGCTGTGTATGTCAACAGGGGAGTTCATACGTGCACAAATTACTACAGACAATCCATGGCGACTTGGACCACATATGTTTAGAGATTTATTGATCAGATTGTTTTAGAAAACCGACAGCAAACACTGACAAGGTACATAAGTACTGGACATTTCAGGGGAGATTTACTTGCTTGTAGGAAACCAGGGGAGGTGGAAAAGCTGTCCTGATCACATGGCATGCACACCAGACTGCAAAAGGACATCCACACTATTAACAGGACTGTGGCAAGTAGCTTTAAAATAAGGCAAGCACTGGGTATGGCCTCGCAGCCTGCATGAAGAGCCAAGCCTGGCCCAGCCTCAGAGCAGCTGCAACGGAAGGCCGTCCTCTCTCCAGCCTGTCCCTCCAGTCTCTCCAGGGAGATGCCTGCACTCTCCCTGAGCCCTCTGCACGGTCAGCGTGCTTTCCGCTGCCTCTGTCTATGCCTGGCGTGTAACTAGCACGACAGTGACTACGACGTAGTGAAATTGGCCTTTTCTCTGAAAACTGACTCAGCCTGTGCAGACTAAGTGGGGCCTTTAAAAAACTTCTCAAAAGTTTAAGCAAATTAACAACGTGGGAAGCACACCAAGAAGACAGCACTACCTTTGAAGAACAGCTCAGACTTCTGTTTATGACACAGGGGGAGATTTTTCTTCTAAATCTCACCAAGTTTGAAGGGTGACTACACATGGAGGTTCCAAAACCCCACCGAGCCTGCTTTGGGCCTTGCCAGTGCTTCCAGAGTTCTGGCAACCTGGGAACCAATGGAATTTACACCTATGGCAACCACTTCTTGAAATGCAGGGCTATGACAATAAACCCTCATTCCCCCTGAAGCCAATACCAGAACACAAGAAAGAACAGAAGGGAAAATGGATTTCTGTGCTACATCAGAGTGTCGGTGGGAGGGCCACTGTAAGTATCCCTAAGACCACAGAAAACCAGGCTGGTTCTAGAAGAGACAAAACCCAACACAGTCCAAGAGGACAGTGCGCCCTTCCTGCACACCAGGCTATCAGACTGGAGAAGGTGACTCCAAAGGAAGAAACGGAAAAGCAAACTTTGTCAAGTTAAAGAGATGTGTTCAAATGATGGGGTTTCCTGTTCCTGTGAGACGCAGCCTTTTCTTCCCACAGGATTGAAGAGTTCTCTGGTGAGGAGGCAGTAGAGAACTCAGCAGCAGACCTTGCTCAAGGGCACCATCTCACCTCGGGTGACCACTGCGACAACACCTCTAAAGCTAATGGGACCACTGGTGTGGTGGCTGGCTGCTAGCCCCTCTCTGAACTTCTTTTCCTTTCCTAACTCCTAGTCCCTTGAAAAGGAGATGTCTGTGGGAGAGGAACAGGAAGGGGAAAGATATGTAAGTAAATCAACTGTTTAGCTGGGCAGTGGTGGCACACGCCTTTAATCCCAGCACCCAGGAGGCAGAGTTCAAGATCAGCCTGGTCTACAGAGCGAGTTCCAGGACAGGTTCCAAAGGTACAGAGAAACCCTGTCTCGAAAAAAAAAATTGTTAACAGGAAAGTTGAAACACTGATTATCCATGGGTTTCACTGTCTGTGCTTTCTTCCTGCTACTGTGAGTAACCAAAGGTCACCGTCATACTTTTTAATCTAGAAATGTTAATATTTCCATTATATAGTTTTTAAATCTAGCTCTGTGCTAGACATGAATGCTATTTAGCAAGCTTTTATATCAAGTCATTAGGCCCTGAAAGAGGACTCTTACCAGTGGAAAGGGTTTGTCTGCCCTGAAAAGCAGGGAAAGTTTAATCTATTACATACTGGTTTGCAGTTTTTCTGTGAAGTGGAAAATACCTTATAGTGATGGAAGCATCATTTAATAAGGTATTACATTCTCAGATAAATTAGTGTTTATGTAGGAGAACTGTACTAGTGTTAGGTTTTAATTCTTCACTTGGGCAACCCTCTCAAGTGAACTTCCTTATTCCTGGGCAAGACGTGCAAATAGGAGGGAGTACAAACAAGAATGGAAAAACCTCAACTCTTATAAACCAAGGAACAGGAATTTGTTTATGAACTAGAGTAAGAAAGCATGGACTTGGAAAAAAATCCAGCTTTACCAAGAAGTTGGCTTATGATCACACTGAAAATCCTTGGTATAATTTTACTCTAAAGGAATAAACTGACGTGCCCAGGACAGGTACAGAAAGTAGTGTAGCTACTTTAGAGTCATCGCATCTACACAATCCGTGCAGACTGTGTTTCTACATATTGCACTTCTGTTTCCGGGTCTGCAGGAAGATGGCGGGGCATACCTCAAAAGAGGCAGAGGAGCAGCAGGCATCGTTACCTTTCCCACCCAGGTGATGCCGTTGGGAATCCAAGTAAGTGCTGGTTATAGAGAAACTAAAATGCTGGTGACCGTCAGAGGACACCCAGTCCTTACCTACAGTTTGGCATCTAGAACATGTGCGCATGAGCAGCTTACAGCACTCCCGGCTGTGCCGCACTTTCCCTAGTGTTCTATTCCCAGACACTCTAGACCAGACGTGTACCTAGAAGATACAGACAGTCGTTCATGTCAGGCCTCTAACATCTACCTCTAAGAAGACTGCCTACAAACGGCTTAAAAAGGATGCCAGCAAGTGTGGCTTGAATGGGACCCTCTTTATAACTTTCTGGTCTAACAGAGCCAGCAAGTGTGGCTTGAATGGGACCCTCTTTATAACTTTCTGGTCTAACAGAGCCAGCAAGTGTGGCTTGAATGGGACCCTCTTTATAACTTTCTGGTCTAACAGAACCAGAGGCCTTCTTGTATTCCAAGGACCATGGGAGTCAAAGCACAGAGGCTGAACACTCAGTCTTTGGTCCCTATATAAACCAATGACAAAAACCCTTCTATCACCCTAGCTTGGGATGTAGTTCTGCCATGGTCCAGAGACCTGGCCTGGAGTCACACAGTTTCGAACTCACAAAGTGGCTCAGGCTGACTTCCTCTGGAGAGGGCTCCTCTGGTGGTTAAGAAGCCAAAGCCACACCAACAGGGAATGGCGAGATTGGGGGATGGGAACCCTAGAAGAGCAGCTCCATTTCCTTACTCACAGAGAAGTGCTTCTACAGATGGTGGGCAAAGGCTCCAATAACAACCCACACGGATGGAGCGTAAGGCCTGCTGCAAGGAGAAGTCAAAAGACCTACCTAGAACTGCACACTGGGCAGAACTTTTTAATTCTAACTCAAAGGTGACTTTAAATCCACACAAACTACAGAGATCTCTTCTGGGTGAAAAGAAAAAGAATAATGTTAAAGCTAGGTGAAAAAGAGGCACTTAAAGGAAAAATGTGTTCAAAATCTCCTGCAGGTATCTCCTCCTTAAGGGGCCTGCAGGAGGGTCTGGTTCGCCCTCCTGCAGGCCTCCAGCATTGCCTACACCTGTGGTACCCACGGGCTTACTCACAAGTGACTCCCTCAACTCTTCTAGCAGTCTGAGGATGAAATGAGTAAAACTTAAGTCTCCTTTCTTCTTAGATTTAAGAAAACAAAACAGACCAGAACTAAAACCTCTTAGACACACACAAAGCAAATGACCCTGTCTCACTCCTTCCTCCTGATGGTTTTCAATGGCACTTGCTTCTCGAGGAAGGGTAAGCTGTGCCTCTTCCTTAAGACCTTTTATCCAGTTACTAGGCAATTACGGCATCCTGTATACTGAAGCAGACAGCAAAAGAGGCACCAAGCTCAGGAGGGAATCCAGAACCAACTGCCTGAGAAAATGCAGGAATAAGGTCCAGAGACTACAAAGAAACGAGCTCTGAAAAGGAAAGAGCTGCTGTGATAGTCAAAGCCCATCGCACCAAGCAGAAGCTAAGCTAAAAGTCTCAAGGGTGCGGGTGCTATGCTCTACTCTACTGTCCTTTGACATCTACACCACACACTTAGAATCTACAATTCCCCATGAAGGGGCTAAAGACATATTTAAAGCCATTAATAAGCGAAGGGGAAGTTCAAAACTGCCTGGAAAGAACTTGACGCCATACATTAATTTGAAAGACAACAACAGAACATGACAGTGGCAGACGGCACTAAATCTCAGCAGGCCGCAGCTAACCACTGGGGTATCACAAGGTTGAGGGGCTCACTAATCAAATACCGCTGAACTGTCTCCTTTCGTCAAGGTTAGATATCTTTGTGCCAAGTCATCAACCACTGCTGCCTGAGTCCAGCCACTCAGACACATCTCAGAAACACTAATTCAACATCCAAATTTAAGAACAACCTGCAAGATGTTCCAGGTCAGTCTTCTCGTTCTATCTCCCAGACCACTGTTGGTTGCTGGCTTTTTAAACTTGGTGTTTGTTGATGATAATGCTTTAATTTGTGGTATTAGCTGACATGGTCAATATGTTTAGAATTTCTTTAAAATAAAATAAAATAAAATTGAAAAAAACAGCAACAAAAAACAATTTCTCTCTCTTGATTCCTAACCTCATTAAGGTACTTCAGATATTCCCTCGGCTCCATCAAGAAAGAGGGATGCATGTATGGGGTGCATACTGGGGCAGGAGGGAGGGGAGCAAAGAAGAAAGCACAGGAGAGTGAGATGTCCATTAACTTAAACCCATTCACAGAAAGGCATCTGATGTATTTTCTGAATAAGGCCTTGATCAGGGTAACCAAACCTCTCTGTAGCACACTCTACACTGCCCATAAATAAAGGAGTCTCTTTAAATTAACATTTCCAGTATCAATGAACAGGCCGGAAATCCTCATTTCAAGCGTTCGATGAGTTCCTGTGTTAGTCCAAGGTGCAGAAGCTGTGTTCGGGAGAGGTTTGCTAGGTTGGGGAAGGCCGCGAGCAGCTTCTCCCACGCCAGTTCCAGCAGGCTGGGTACCACCAGCCAGATCTTAAACAGTGACCCAGTCCGTTTGTTTTCATGGATGTTCACGACTCCTCCGTGAATGTACATGCAACCAGCCTATGAACAAACGGCAGTTAGAAGAGAGAGAGCTACCAAGGTGGAGATTTCAGCAAAGTGAGGGAGCAGCATACACTGAATTAAGGTAAGATGAAACAACACAATCCCTCGGGCTAGATGTGCAATCAGGCCCTGGGTTCAACAGTCAGCATCACAGACACAGAATCTTTCACTGATCTGACCCCAAGCAGAAGTACTTCTGTAGTGAGTGGGTTGTTAAAGAAAACAGTTGGAATCAAACTCTTTAAGCTCAAATGATCTGCTTCCTGCATGGTGGAATTACCACATCCAGTTCTATGGTTTTGCTTTGTTTTTTAATTCGTTTATATTGTGTTTTGGTTTTCTTTTCTTTTCTTTTTTGAGACAGGGTTTCTCTGTGCAGCCCTAACTGTCCTGAAACTCGTTTTGTAGATCAGGCTAGCCTCAAACTCACATAGATTCGCCTACCTCTGCCTACTGAGTGCTGGGATTAAAGGCATGCGCCATCACCCCCTGGCTTTGTGTGTGTGTTAATTTAAACTATAAACAACTTTTTATTAACAATTAAATTTAGATTATTTGAGTATCCAGACTATCAAATTCTGGTAATACAAAGATGAAAATAAAGGTTCTTACAGTATCTTCAATAATATGGTACTAAATAATCACATTATTCTGCCTTCTTAGGAAACACCTAAGAATTGACAGTCAGGACCTCAAATACCACATACTAAATTTCCTTTACATTTCAGTGCTCTTTTAAACTTGCTTGTGAGAGTATTTTTCTCTCCTTTTCTTAGCCTAAAGTTTGTAAGTATCAGCGTCTTTTCTACTTGCTAGTACTCCTTCCCATCTACCACGTACGAATAACTGAAAACAAAACTCACGGGTGTGACAGCCGCACAGTGGAAGTAAACAGGCTCTGGCATGGTAGCAGGGAGCTTCACCCACTGAAACGTCTGCAGATTCAGCTTCCAGATGTCTCCCAGGATCACTTCCCCGTTATAGCCCCCACAAATGAAAACATCTGTCGAGAAAGGAGAAAGGCAATAGCACACAAAGGAAATGAACTACAGCTACAGCATGTCTTCCGGGAGAACATATGCTTAGCAGACAGGTGGGCCATTCCTCAACAGAACTGGGACTAAGGATGCCAGCCTCTAAGGAGGCTCACGTCAAGGTTCTCAAATTTAAATATTTCTAGGTTCCAGGCACAGAAAGTGAATGAACAGAGGCTGGAAATAACCTGAGTTCTGGAGAAAGTTCACACTCTGAAGGAGAGTGGCTATACAGCCCCAGGAGGATGCCCTGGGAGGGGCAGGCTAGCTACTGCATCCCCATTTCCTAGAGAAGCTAAAACTCCCACTAGGCAAGAAACACTAATCAAAAATAAAACACAGCTATAACCCAGGTTTTCAAACTCTTCTTTTTAATAACATCTTGGAAAACGTATGCTTTTTTAAAATTCCTAGCAACAAATATCCTCCCCAAGGAAATCTCACCTAGGAGGAATGCTCACTGTAATATGCAATCTGGGGCCACACAAAAACGCTCCTTTGATCTGCATAGCTCTGGGTGGGTCAGTTTTAACTATTGATCTACTTGTAGCGAGGGCCATGTCACCTTTTAAAGGCCCAGAAGTTCCAACTGCATGATGCATGGCTCCCAGGAAGCAAATGAATAAATGGCTAATTCAAGTCTGGGCCAAGTTTAGGCCAATACTTAATTAAACTATAAAATATGTCAGAAACTTTTTTGGCTAGGAGTCAAGAGAAACGTTAAAGCACAGCTTCATTCTCAGAGGCAAAGCAGAACAGTGTCACTACCTATAAATCTTACCCAAAAAGCAGAAGCCTAATTTTTAACAAGTCCCTGCATATACATAAAATGGCAGGTAAGTACTACTTAAATCTGAACTGGGATGCAAAAGGATACAGGCTATCGGTCTCTGCATATACCCCTTCCCAGAGGTGGGGGAGAGTAAAAGTGCTCAAGGAGGTACATCAACTATAAAAACTATAAAATGTCCTGTACATTAAAAGCCAGGAATATTTGCCAAAGAAGAGTTGTTACCATGCTTAAAGTAGCTGCTACTTTCTGAAATCATACAAGGACTTTGCTATAGGAGGACCAAGGAATGAACTCTGAGTTCACATCAGATAGAGAACAGAATAAACTTTATGCTATAATAGTCTGGAGCAGTTATAACAATTTTAGCCCAATGTGCAGTGAGGTCTTACTCTGCAAGCACTCACAGTGCTAGAACCATAAATCACACTGAAAGAGCCAGTGGTACAACAAAAGCTTATTTACCATCTACTTCAGAGTTCTTTTAACAGAGAGAGCCCAGACACAGAACTAGTTTACATTTTGAAAACTGCCAAGAGACACAACTCTCCAGAGTTCCCTATTTAAATTACAAGAAATCAGCCGGGTGATGGTAGCGCACGCCTTTAATCCCAGCATTCAAGAGGCAGAAGCAGGCGGATCTCTGTGAGTTCGAGACCAGCTTGGTCTACAGAGCTAGTTCCAGGACAGGCTCCAAAGCCACAGAGAAACCCTATCTCGAAAAACCAAAAAAAAAAAAAAAAAAGAAATCAGTGTGGTCCAAAATTATGCACCCCTTTAGAGGAGCTAACCAGGAAATCAGTCATTCTCAGCAGGTAAGATTACAGAAATGAATCAAAATTTTATTTAGACTCCATACCATTTTTTATTTGAACACAACTGTGACATCTTCGGGCTGCAGGAAAACCTGTCGAACACATAAATATAGGAATTCCATTATTCAAGAGAACAACAGCTAGCCCTCCAACCCTTCCTGATGAGAAGTCAGAGAAAGTCAGAAAGGAGAAGGGACGTGACAATGACGGTTCCGATGATCTATTATTCGTTTTATCATTCTTGTATGAGTATGTGTATATATCACATATGTGTGCCTCAAAGATCCACAGAGAAACTCACAATGCGAGCTGGAGTTAAAGGAGGTTGTGAATTCCTGATGTTGGAAACAGAACTGAGGTCCTCTGGAAGAGCAGTGTGCGCTCTTAACCACTGAGCATCTCTCCCTGATGTTGGAAACAGAACTGAGGCCCTCTGGAAGAGCAGTGTGCGCTCTTAACCACTGAGCATCTCTCCCTGATGTTGGAAACAGAACTGAGGCCCTCTGGAAGAGCAGTGTGCGCTCTTAACCACTGAGCCATCTCTCCCTGATGTTGGAAACAGAACTGAGGCCCTCTGGAAGAGCAGTGTGCGCTCTTAACCACTGAGCCTCTCTCCCTGATGTTGGAAACAGAACTGAGGCCCTCTGGAAGAGCAGTGTGCGCTCTTAACCACTGAGCCTCTCTCCCTGATGTTGGAAACAGAACTGAGGCCCTCTGGAAGAGCAGTGTGCGCTCTTAACCACTGAGCATCTCTCCCTGATGTTGGAAACAGAACTGAGGTCCTCTGGAAGAGCAGTGTGCGCTCTTAACCACTGAGCCTCTCTCCCTGATGTTGGAAACAGAACTGAGGCCCTCTGGAAGAGCAGTGTGCGCTCTTAACCACTGAGCATCTCTCCCTGATGTTGGAAACAGAACTGAGGCCCTCTGGAAGAGCAGTGTGCGCTCTTAACCACTGAGCCTCTCTCCCTGATGTTGGAAACAGAACTGAGGTCCTCTGGAAGAGCAGTGTGCGCTCTTAACCACTGAGCCTCTCTCCCTGATGTTGGAAACAGAACTGAGGCCCTCTGGAAGAGCAGTGTGCGCTCTTAACCACTGAGCCTCTCTCCCTGATGTTGGAAACAGAACTGAGGCCCTCTGGAAGAGCAGTGTGCGCTCTTAACCACTGAGCCTCTCTCCCTGATGTTGGAAACAGAACTGAGGTCCTCTGGAAGAGCAGTGTGCGCTCTTAACCACTGAGCCTCTCTCCCTGATGTTGGAAACAGAACTGAGGCCCTCTGGAAGAGCAGTGTGCGCTCTTAACCACTGAGCCTCTCTCCCTGATGTTGGAAACAGAACTGAGGCCCTCTGGAAGAGCAGTGTGCGCTCTTAACCACTGAGCCTCTCTCCCTGATGTTGGAAACAGAACTGAGGCCCTCTGGAAGAGCAGTGTGCGCTCTTAACCACTGAGCCTCTCTCCCTGATGTTGGAAACAGAACTGAGGCCCTCTGGAAGAGCAGTGTGCGCTCTTAACCACTGAGCCTCTCTCCCTGATGTTGGAAACAGAACTGAGGCCCTCTGGAAGAGCAGTGTGCGCTCTTAACCACTGAGCCTCTCTCCCTGATGTTGGAAACAGAACTGAGGCCCTCTGGAAGAGCAGTGTGCGCTCTTAACCACTGAGCCTCTCTCCCTGATGTTGGAAACAGAACTGAGGCCCTCTGGAAGAGCAGTGTGCGCTCTTAACCACTGAGCCTCTCTCCCTGATGTTGGAAACAGAACTGAGGTCCTGTGGAAGAGCAGTGTGCGCTCTTAACCACTGAGCCTCTCTCCCTGATGTTGGAAACAGAACTGAGGTCCTCTGGAAGAGCAGTGTGCGCTCTTAACCACTGAGCATCTCTCCCTGATGTTGGAAACAGAACTCAGGAGCTCTGGAAGAGCAGTGTGCGCTCTTAACCACTGAGCATCTCTCCCTGATGTTGGAAACAGAACTGAGGTCCTCTGGAAGAGCAGTGTGCGCTCTTAACCTCTGAGCCTCTCTCCAGCCCTGACCCCATTCCTTATTTCACTTGTACCACACAGCTCAGTTCTCCATGTTAAAAACTCCTGAGAGCTGAGGAACAATAACTTCTAACACCATTTGTATAACTATTTTATGTGCTATACCACTTAAGAAAATTATCTTCACCTCCCCCCAAAACAAGTATAAAATACATTAGCTAAAAACATGAATCAATACTTTTAATTACCTATTTTTTCATGAGGTTTTGTTGCGATCTCCTCCCATGCATTTGTTTCAAGGTTGTATGCGTGGATCTTGGAAGAAAAAAATATATATGTACAAGTAAATAGCTGTAATCTTAATTACCATGACATCAGATTTTTAAAATAAACATTTTTTGAGCAGTTTTAGAAAGAGTGAAAAGAAGAAGCTGGAATGAGGAGAGAAGCATGCCTGCCTCTCAGTGCTGGGTGCTGTCTACCTCCTTCTGTATCTCTACAGTGAGCATGAAGCATTCTTGTGGCCAGAGAGAAAAGCAACACCGGTAAGAGAATAAAGACAAAATCAACAAACCCTTAAAAATCCAAGGCAGGCCAGGAGCTCTGTCACCTGACTTAGGTCACCTCTGGGATTTCTAACTATGACATTTTCGAAATGCCATGGGGATGGATAACTAAAAGCCCTGAGGAGGAGCTGGGCTCTCTGGAGTCAGTGGTGTCAGCCCTAAGTGTGCACTGACAAGGGGGGTGTGACATTCTGAGAAGCCTGGCGAGCTACACATTCTCTAGTGCTCGTCCTCCCCCACATGCTCACAAAGACTTTCAGCAGTGATGAAGGTGACTATCAGCTGCAATGCGTATCAGGAGCACTGAGTCCAACCTTCTATCACAGAACAACTGTTGATGAAGCTGCTTGAAAATCCAAATAACTAACAGAATCATCCTGATTAGTAAGATACAAGCTTCAGTCCATTGTCTCCCACTATTTTTTACTTCTTTAAGAAGAAAAAAAAAAGTACCTTGTTTAAGGAATAGGCTGTCCAGGAAGTCCCTCCTCCCAAGATGTAAATCCTCTGCCCATCATGAGCAATTTCATGTCTGTACCTGAAAATACCGAAAAAAATAACTGGGTGAAAATGACCTCCGTAAGGTTTAGCTGTGAGGTTTCTCTTAACTAAATATTACCATTATTTATGATGATAAATTATTAGCAATGAGCTAGTATTAACTAGTAGTGAACTAGGTAAATGAATAAAATGCATTAGTATACAATCAATAAGAAATAAAGACAGTCAACCCATCCCAAAGTCCTATTCACACCACTAACTGGAAAGGAAATGAGCTCCATGTTAAACAGGCTGCAGACAGGTTTAGAACTTTCAGTACACACACACACAAACGCAAGGGTGTCCCCATCTCAGAGGGCAACCACAGCTACCTCCAAATTTACTTTTATCTTTCTTTCTTCATTTTGCTGATTTGTATTCTTTTTTGCTAGTTTGTTTTTTTTTTTTTACTTAATTTTTTAATTCATTTTATGTACCAACCATGGTTCCCACTCCCTCCCTTCTTCATCCTCCTCTGCCCACAATCCCCCAACCCAGCCCCATCTACTCCTCAAAAAGGGTAAGACCTCCCATGGGGAGTTAACAAAGCCTGGCACATTCAGCTGGGACAGGACCAAGCTTCACCCCACCCCCAATTTGTATTTTCTAGATTATCTATAATCTTTCTGTGATAACTCTGTAAATGGAGAAACTATCACCCAATAAATGACCTACCTGTATTTAATTAGAACCCCACACTATGAGTTCTTAAGTTAAGATACTTATTATTTTGCAGGAAATTGTGTGTACACCCTCTAGAACTTCCATCTAGGCAATTGAGCTACAACTGAAACTTCTTCCCCTCCAAGAAAAATGCTGTGATGGCCATTCTTGTTAGTCAGCTTGACTACATCTGGACTTAACTAAAACCAAGTGGCTCAGTAAACTGTTTTTTCCCTTTCGTTTTATTTTCCGAGATAAGGCTTCTCTATGTAGCCCTGGCAGTCCTGGAACTGACTTTATCAACCAGGCTGGTCTCAAACTCCCAGAGATCCACCTGCCTCTGCTTAGGCGCTGGGATTAAAAGGTGTGTGCCACCACTGCCCAGCAGGGGATTTTCTTTTTTTTTTTTAAGAGGTTTTTATTTTTTAAGCATACGATGTTCTGCTGGCATGTTCACACCAGAACCAGAAGAGGGCGCCAGATCTCATTACAGATGGTTGTGAGCCACCATATGGGTGCTGGGAATTGAATTCAGGACCTCTGGAAGAGGCTGAGCCATCTCTCCAGCAGGGATTTTTTTTTTCTTAAATAAAGCATTTGAAGTGGGAAGACACAACTTTAATCCAGATCTTTTGAGGTGGGAAGATAGATCTACCCTTAACCTAAGCCTCACCTTCTGCTGGCAGCCTATATAAATGACATGGAAGAAGGAAGCTTGCTCTCTCTTTGCCTGCTTGCTCTTACTGGAAAGCCCATTCTTTCACTGGCATGAGAGTCTACTTCTTCAGGATTCTGGTGTATACTGAAGACCAGCTAAGACATCCAGCCTCGTGGCCTGAACAACTACTGGATTCGTGGACTTGGCATTGGCAGAAAGCTATTGTTGGACTAGCTGGACCATAGCTTGTAAGCCACTCTAATAATCCTTTATTATTCTATTATTTCTGTTCCTCTAAAGAACTCTGAATAATACAGGCTCTCTTAGAATTAGAATTCTTTTTTTTAATATTTATTTATTTATTTATTATGTATACAATATTCTGTCTGTAAGTATGTCTGCAGGACAGAAGAGGGCACCAGACCTCATTCCAGATGGTTGTGAACCACCATGTGGTTGCCGGGAATTGAACTCAGGACCTTTGGAAGAGCAGGCAATGCTCTTAACCACTGAGCCATCTCTCCAGCCCCCAGAATTAGAATTCTTAAAAAAAAAAAAAAGGTTTATTTATTTTTGTATTTCATACATATGGGTGTTTTGTCTGCATGTACTCTGCACACCAGAAGAGAGAAATGAATCCTGTTGTAGAATATTAGTTAAAGATGTGTTATATTTGTTTAATGATGCAAAGATATGTTGCATTCGTTTTTTTTTTTTTTTTTTTTTTTCAAGACAGGGTTTCTCTGTAGCTTTGGAGCCTGTCCTGGAACTCACTCTATAGATCATGCTGGCCTCTCCCTCCCAAGTGCTGGGATTAAAGGCAGGCGCCACTACCGCCCGGCCATTAAGTTTAATTCTAAGAGGTAACTATTCCTATGGAAAGAACCATGAAAGATCTGGGGCCTTTGGTAGAAAACAACAGGAGAGCAATATGATGCTGCTGGGATGTTTCAGAGACAATGGAATGAACGACCATGCCACCCAGCCTCCATCCGTCATCTTATCGTCCCATCTGTCCTTCCTTCTCACCAACAGTCACTGACCCTCACTGACTTTTTTTTTTTCTTTAGTTTTTCGAGACAGGGTTTCTCTGTAGCTTTGGAGCCTGTTCTGGAACTAGCTCTTGTAGACCAGGCTGGCCTCGAACTCACAGAGATCCGCCTGCCTCTGCCTCCCAAGTGCTGGGATTAAAGGCGTGCGCCACCACCGCCCGGCCCCTCACTGACTTTTATTGGTAACTGCTACCATTGGTTCCTTTCAACACGTTATTAGCTTCTTACTACTGAAAGATTAAGAAGTACATGAGAAGAAGATTTTAACAATTCCACAACTAGAGGAAAACACTGTATTCTCACAATAGCCCCTTCTTTACCACTGATCTGGACCCATGTGCCAGTTAGCTACCTTATCAAGGGAGTCTTTTCTTCATGTCGTCAAGGTGCTGAAAGAGCTCAAATCTGAGCGGGAAAGACCAGAGTGCTCAGCCCCAGCACCTCACCTTTCCTCTGGCAGATCACAGGACAGGTTGTTTGGTTTGAGTTGTGTCCACACCATGGTATTGAGATCTAACTTGTGCAGGTCTGTGCTGTAGATGTAGCCAGTTGTTCCCCCAAAGACATAAAGGGAACCATTGATGAGGGCCATGGCCTGTAGAAAGAGGGCGAATAAGAATGACTCCTTAACACTACAACAGAACACAAACTTAGCAATGCCCCCACATCATGTTTATCAAATTCTCTCTCTCTCATTTTTTGTTCTGGTTTTGTTTTTTTGTTTGTACTGCTTTGTTTCTGTTTTTGTTTTTTTCTGTATAGTGCTGTTGTCCTGGAGTGGCCACGAACCACAGAGATCCGCCTGCCTCCCGAGTACTGGGATTAAAGGCATATACCACTATTGCCCAGTTTCTCTTCTTTTTAACCCTTTCTGTTCTCCCAAGAACTGGAGTCAGTTCCCTGCACCCTTGTTGGGCAGCTCCCAACCACCTGTAACATCAGCTCTCCAGGCACCTGTGCACCACACCATATAAATAAAACTAAAATATCAGAGCTGGAGCAATGGCTCAGCAGTTAAGAGCACTTGAATTCTGTTCCTAGTACCTACATGGTCGTTCAAACCATCCCGTAATTCCAGTTCCAAGAGATCCAACACCCTCTTCTGACCTTCATGGGCACTAAGCATAGACATAGCACACACACATGCAGGCAAAACATGCATGCACACAAACTAAATCTAAAAATAAAATAAAGTATCAGACTTTGTCCCAGGTATGAAGGTACTTGCTTATAATCCTAGTACTCAGGAGCCTGAGGCAAGATCAGAAAAAAGTCTGAGGCTGAGCTACAAAATGAGACCTTAAAAACAAAACAAAAAAATTCAAAACCAAAAGACTCCACTAAAAATCTCAAAAATTAAAAGTTAAAGAGCTGGCAAGATGACCCAGTGGGTAAAAGTGCTAGCCATGCAAGCCTGACTCTGATTCATACCCAGAACCCAGTTCTCTGACCTGTTCCCTGGAGCTGTGGCACGTCTGTATATGCACACTCTTACACATACACACACTAATAATAATAATAATTAATAAAAAATTTAAAGATTAAAAAAACCATCCCCTACAGCAGGTAATCTGACATTTATTTGCCTGTAACCCCAACTATGCATGAGGCCAAGGAAAGGCCATACTGCATGTGAAACCTTGTCTATGAATGGATGACTACACCTTTTCCTAGAACCTAGGGGCTATTTTACTTTTGCCTTTACAAAGTAAAGCTTTGCTGGTTCTACCTAGAAAGGTATCTGTTAGGTGATTATCTCAGAGTCAAGAATGTAGGGACCGCGGACAGGAGCATTTCCACTAAAAGCCATCTATCTTCCTAAGCAGTCTGAAGAAAAACACTCCCAAGAAGCAACAACAATTGGAAACTGCCACAGAAGTCTGGCACCTAGAGCTGGCATTTCCATCAAACTCCTCTCCAGTCACTGCCACAGTTACTTCTTGGAGCTTGAGTGGCCCGCAGTTTGATAGAGTGGGCTGGAAAGAGTTCCTTCAGAGTTTGAGCTCAGAAGTGTTTAATCACGCCTGTGTGCAAGACAGTTGGGCCTGATATCAAATGGTAGTTATTCCAAGTTCAGCCAATGGTCTCAAAAGTCTGTTTGGGTGGATAACCCACTATCTTTCTGGATATAACTTTACATATCAAAGATTAAGCCAGGCGGTGGTGGCACACACCTTTTGTCCCAGCACTCGGAAGGCAGAGGGAGGTGGATCTCTGAGTTGAGGCCAGCTTGGTCTACAGATGAGTTCCAGGCCAGCTACAGCTACACAGAGAAATCGGTCTCAAAAAATGAAACCAAGCAAACAATACAAACCAACAGCAAAGGTTAAACTGACTATGAAGTCTCTAGATGTTTTAGTTCAGCTCTGTGTTGAGTCTCTTGATGAGCTACACACGCTTCTTAGGAAATAAAGTTCTTGGTAGAATCAGAGCAGACTCAGACCATGCTAAAGCTCAGTCTTGCACTAGGGGTTGGTGTAGTTAAAGGCGTTTCTACATAGATTTATCTCCTAACCTTAAGATTGAATTAGAAGCAAATAAGGGCACGGGGAAGATGGCTTGGTGGGTAAAATTCCCACACCATGTAAAACAACAAACAAAACTCATAAAAGCAGCGCTGGGGAGGCAAGGTCAGGCCAATCCCTGGAGCTCACTGGCCAGGCAGTCCAGCCTCATCAGCAAGTTCCAGATCCCAGAGACTGTCTCAAAAAAGAAAGGAGAGATAAAAGGTGAACACAGTTCCTAAGGAACAATACCTGAGGCTGTCCCCTAGCAAACGCATAAAAAATTCTCTCTCTCTCATCCTTCTCTCACCTCTCTCTCAGCAAAGAATGGTGAAATCGAGAGAGGGGAATGGTAAGATTTATGAATTGACTTTCAATCTCCATTAAACAAAGTAGCACTGTATTCTGACACTGCTGCTAGACTAGAACAATATGAAAATAGGCACATTCACCGTTAATTAGCCACAGACTAGTACCTGTCCATATATACGACTGGGTCTCTTCCCCCGACAGCTGAGTAAAGCCCATCTCTTGTACTTCACGTTACAGACATGGACGTCATTGCCGTTGCTCTCACCAAATGGGATGCCTGTACCTCCAAACACTAACAGGTTGTTTCCGTGCAGCACAACTGGGGAGGAAGATACACACATTCCACTTATGCAACTGCTTCCTACAGTGTCTGCCCACGAACCCAGACCATCTGAAAAGCTCAAACATGTCTACTTTAATGATCTTAAGGATTCTTCAGAACATGGCTAGTTCATACTGTACTGAAAGATTATCTCACATGCTCACTGGTAGATGTATGATACATAGCCAAAGTGTACTAGAGCATTTCATGAAATACAACAGTGTATAGCAATGTCAAGCCTATGAACTACAACAGTGTATAGCAATGTCAAGCCTATGAACTACAGAATACCACTGCTGTTCAAGACAAATACATAGCCAGCCAGAGGAAAACAATCTATCATCTTTGCCCTGGAAAAGAACCTGTAAGATTCAGATGAAGAAATCAAAGGGTCATTTTCTGTCAGAGGAATAATCTTTATATTTTAAACTATGGTTTCTGTCAGTTTAATCCTCCACCAGATAAAAAGAAACACCAATATCCTGCAGACAAGTTTTGTATTCTATCTTTATCTATTTTGTTTGCCATAATTTACACAATCTTCCCTTTTTTCTTTCTTCCTTCCTTCAGTAGTTCCCCAACTTCACACACCATAGCAGTCAACAGTCTACACAGCAGTGGGTAACAGTCTGCACCATAGCAGTCAACAGTCTACACAGCAGTGGGTAACAGTCTGCACCATAGCGGTCAACAGTCTACACCACAGTGGGTAACAGTCTGCACCTAGCGGTTAACAGTCTGCACTGTAGTGCTGTTAAGAATTCGACTTAATTTTAGTGTGACTTCAGGAAAACTAGTTAACCTCCTTAACTTAATTTTCACAACAACCCTATTAGGTCGGAACTGTAAATGTTATTTTCTTCTCTCTTTCCTCTGTCTCCCTCTCTGTGCTGTTTGAATCCATAACTTGGTACACTCTACCACTAAGCAATGAGCCCAACCTCCACTTTTAGAGATGATAAACACAAACAGAAATAGCAAATATTTGTGTTTTAATTCCTCTGTTTATTTGTCTTCAGGAAATAAGGTCTTGCTACTTAACCCAGGCTAGCCTTGAACTCACTGTAATCCTTCTGTCTCAGCCTCTCAAGTGTTAGGATTATGGGCATGAACTACCATGCCTGGTAAGAACAGTTTAAATAACTTGCTGATGGTTTCCTAAAAAGAGCTGGGATTCAATCCTGGTCACTCTGGCTTCAGAGCATGCACTCTTAGCCATTATTCTCGGGGCCTTTATGAAACCTTGGGTTCTTCATTAGTACAGTGGAAATCACTGTAGAAACTTAACATAGTGATGATGTAAGGAAGCGAAGTCCTTCACTTAACAGCTATTAACTATCATAGTTACAACTCCATTGTTTCATTTTGACTACATTTTTCCTAACATATATAATACTTTATACTGAACCCTCTGAGACATTGCTAATCTTACTTTATAGGCAAATAAAGTTAAAACTCATCTGGCAATCCAGTACTTACAGTTAGATTCAAACCCAGGAACTCAGGGGTTCAAAGCCACCACACTATATTATCATCACAGTGAAATGCCTATTCGTGACAATACTTACTCATGCTTCAATAGTGTAAATTACTAACAGGGAACAAGTGGTTCACAGAGTTAAAATATCACAACTGCTGGCACTTACGTGACATAGATGCCAGCTCCCGGGGCATATAGCCATCTGTGCCCATCTGGTGCCACACGCCTGTTGCAAAATGATACCTCCAAAGCTCCCTGAAGAGAGGATAGTCTTCATTATCCGGCCCTCCCGACTCATCATAGTCTGGGTTATACCCTCCAAACACATAGAGATTGGTATTATCTGCCACACAACGATGTCCACTGCGTGCTGGGGGAGGTCTGTGGCCTATGGAAGAAGAGCATGGTGTTCCAAAAATGGCCCATAGATGAAGAGCATAAACAAAATTAGTAACAACCATTTGAATTAAAAGGGAGTCAGGAGGGATTCTTAACACAAAATGTCATTTACTTAGGTTATTTTATACACTCATACAGACTACTTAGGATTTAAGGAGCTAGTCTTCGCTTTTATTTCATGATTTCTAAATTTCAAAGACTAAGAGAGATTTTTCCCCAAGAGAGGTGACACAGCATGGTAAACTCAAGGAAATGGCTGACAATGTGGAATTCAAGAAAAGGAAGAGGAGAGGCCTACTACTTCAGAGGCTAAGAGGGCAGAGGACAGATTTTCTTACTATTTAGGGGAGAACACAGGCAATCTGGATTAAACTGTGACTACTGGAGAAAGCAACCACAAACATGAATGAGTCATGCCTAAATAAACACAAACATGTAAGCATACATTTAAAAAGAAAACTGGTCCTTATGTGATCAGAGCAAAATTAATTCTCTGAATACCATTCCAAAACTTTTCAAAGAAAACCTTGCATTTATCCCAAAAATCTTATATTCTGTTTAAAGTTATTACTAGGAAAAGCTATTTATGAAAAAACATTTAATTCAAAATGGTCAAAAATTTCAAAATGGAAGCCGGGTGGTGGTGGCACACGCCTTTAATCCCAGCACTCGGGAGGCAGAGGCAGGCGGATCTCTGTGAGTTCGAGACCAGCCTGGACTACAAGAGCTAGTTCCAGGACAGGCTCCAAAGCCACAGAGAAACCCTGTCTTGAAAAACCAAAAAAAAAAAAAAAAAAAAAAAAAATTTCAAAATGGAACTAAGCCCTGACCTCTGAGACTCCAAGGCTTGGTAAAGATCCTGGATAGGACCCCAGGACCACAAAAAAAGTAAAGTTTGGCAAACAGGAAAGAGGCAAGTTCTAGATTTAAAAATTTCTGTTCTTTATGATACCAGAAATGAAAGCTGCCTTGTTCATGACTGGCAATCATTCCACCACTGAGCTACAGCCACAGAATCTTTCTATATTTTCAGTTGCATTAACTAGCCAGGCCTTGTGGCATAAGCCTGTTTTAATTGTGATCTAAGCTACTCAGGGGGCTGAATCAGGAAAACCATAATTTCAATGTCTGCCTGGGCTCAGCACATAAGTTAAGGAGCAGCTCAGGCAATTTAGAGATAACCTGGTCTGCTCAAAATTAAAAAAAAAAAAAAGAAGATAGATAGATAGAGAGAGAGGGAGGGAGGGACGGAGGGAGGGAGAGAGGAAAGGAAGGAAGGAGAAAGGAAGGAAGGAAGGAAGGAAGAAAAGATAAGATTGGTGATGCAGCTCAAGTGGGTAGAGTACTTGCCTAGCATAGTCAAGGCCCTTAACTTAATCCCCAGCATATAATAAATAAATGATTAAATTATATACACATATACTGGTTCATTTAAAATTATTTTTTTTTTTAAATATTTATTTATTTATTATGTATACAATATTCTGTCTGTGTGTATGCCTGCAGGCCAGAAGAGGGCACCAGACCCTATTACAGATGGTTGTGAGCCACCATGTGGTTGCTGGGAATTGAACTCAGGACCCTTGGAAGAGCAGGCAGTGCTCTTAACCTCTGAGCCATCTCTCCAGCCCTTAAAATTATTTTGATATCATTTTAAAGGATGGAAAAAAAAGCCCACTACTTTATATTTCTATTATCCTCATGACTTCTTATACCAGTCTACAGAAATCCTTGAATAGTTATAGAACCAAACAAGATAAAATATGATATGGACTAAGACGAAACTATATTTGCTATAACCCTAAAAACATCTCTATTTTCATGTGCTACTGATACTAGTTCATTAGGACACTGCTAGACCCCAATAAATATGCTTTACTAATAAGTATCTATTACCAACCTAATAAGGCCTTTCATGTTTTTTTAAGCAAAAACCCCACCTTCTAGGGTATACTTTAGAACAAGACTTGAAACAATATGTACAGAACTAGAGCAACCAAAAAACAAAGCAACACTGAATCTCTTAGTTACTCTGGCCCATGTCAGTCTGTGTGCAAGGCACTGTCAACCGGTTTCTTAAGGGCCTGGGTCAAGCATCTCAGAGCTCTCCACTTACTCTCTAAGCTGAGTTAGCCTCGTGGTCAGCAGGCCTAGAGTCCTTCCTTTGACCTTGGCCTAGCCCACCTACCCTTTAAGTGTCCAGCGGAAGAAACGCTTCCAAGTCTACTCCATGCAGCCTTTTTGAGGGCTCTTCGGGTTCAGCAGCCTCCTGCTCAAATGTTAGGGCAGACTGAACAGTTATCAGATGGAAGCAGTGTAACTTCATAAATATGAGTGTAATACCAGGCACCTAGAATCAGCTAGCAAATTTACAAATGAGCTGTTATCTAACGTGAGTGAAGAACTGAGTTTCCTTCTGGCACACTGGAAACACAGGAGAGAGAGTGTGCAAGAGTGAGCAAGGGCTCCCATGACCTGTAGGCTGAATGTAGGTTCTTTCAACCAGTACCTTGTGCAAGCCACTGACCTTCACTGAATCCTCACATCGAGCTGGGGATAGTATCACTGTACCCCACAGATTTGCTGTTTTTAAATGTTCACTGGTTTATGCGTGTATCTTTCCAGGTGGCGGTGAGCTATCTGAGGGAAGAGAAATGTATGTGCACTCACTTTTCTATAACCAAGCCTAAGTAAGGCTCACAGAAAACACTGACCAAAGTCGAGAACGAACTAGTTAACTCTTCTCGGCTCACCTCATGTTTGTTTTTCTAATGCAAACAGAGTAAAAGTGCCTCAGAGGCAAACAGCGCACGCTTACCCTGCATCACCCACAACACCTGACACTGCTGGGAAAACAACCCCGTCCTAAAGCCTCCCTGAGTTTAACTTTAGGCCAGAGTAAACAGTGGCAAGGACAATCAAAACCATGTGCAGCTCTGTGGGCTCTGACATGGTTTTTCCAAGATACATGGCATAGAGCTCAACAGAAGAGCAGGCGCTTAGCATGTGCATGGCCCTGGCTTCAATTCCCAACAGTGAAGGAAGAAAGGGGAAGAGGGGGAGGGTGTGATCTAGGTGACAGGTGTTGGGCTGTGGAATGATCTTTGCAAGTTATAAATACAGCTAGGAATTAGCAAGATAAACTTCAACAGTTGCTACACTCAATAGACGGGAACTAAGAATCTCTAGAATGCTATTATTTTTTCATTTCCAGAAGCCATTAGATAACTTTTAGGTTTTTACGTTTTAGGCAAATGTGAAAAGAATACAGTAACATTCTAGGACTCTCTCTCAGGGGACACGAAGCACAGAATGTGTTCCAAGTTTACCAAAAATATCATTGTGCACATAACTCATTTGGAGTAAACACTGAGGCAAAATGAAAAGATGATTTGACATAAAATGTATCCATTCATCCACTCTAAGTCCAAATATTACTGGACAACAGCTGTGAACTGTTCTCGTGACAGGTGCTGGGCCAGAGACACTGTCTCTGGGGGCTTACAGTCCAGCTCTGCCCTGCACAGCACAGTAGTTCCTGGCCACCCCTGAAATGTGACTGGGCCAAACTGGGATCCCTAAAAAGAATGTAAAATTACTAGTTCTATTAACATAGATGGTAATGTTTAACATCATGCCTTGTTTTTCATGTGGCTGCTATAAAACTTAAGTTCATAGCTCATATTTCTATCAGACAGTGCTGGGTTAATCTAACAGCTAACTTCTATGGATCTCATGATCTATTCAAATGAAATGACCGCGTCAAGAGCATCTGATCAGTGCTTGATAAATGCTAGACATTCTATCAAAGAGCCTTTGCAGCTGTACTGAGTAACTCACTCCTTCCCACAGATTTAACTGACATACCAGAAACCCGTTTTGTTTTTAATAAATCACAGGAATTTGTCAGGGCAATGCCACAGGAACCAAGCATTAATTTTTATCAGATAGCATACAGCACAGGCTCCTCGACTTGGACAAAACGAGATTGGGTTTTAGTCTAAAGTCTCTGAATCCTCAATCAAGTTTTCAGCTAATCACCCCCAGGTTTGGGTTACCTGGGTTCCAGAACTCTCACTAGAAATCATGGGAGCAGGATTTCACGGTGAGCTCAGCAGTAAAGGTGCTCGCCCCCAAGCCTGAAGACTCCTCGGATAGACATGGAGGAGAGAACTCACTCCTGAAAGCTGAACTCTCATCTCACACACACATGCATGCATGTACACACTCACAAAATGTAAGAACTTTTAATACATATAAAGGCAAATGTAGAAGTAAAAAAATGGAAAATGAACCTACATGCCAAGGTGATCTAACAACCAGAAGAGACACATGCCTGTGAGACCATGGACCTGGATTTCCTGGATCAACCTTTTACTCTAACTCAGAGTCAACAGGAGCCATGGTGACTAGGGAAGTGTTTGAATTTGTAGCAGAAACCAAGTAGCTATCTGAGATTATACAACTGATGATTAGGTCATTCCCAATGCTCTGATTATAACAAAAAATACTGGAATAAAGTTTCTTCTACGTGTTCACATGAAAATTTATGAATATTTCTAGAAATAGAACTTTTGGGTCATAGGAACACGTTTCAAATGTTTATACAGAAAACTATTGTAGAGCCATGTTGTTCCTCCAATAGCTAAACTGGACCAATTTATACTCCTAAATATGTGTATGAAAGTGTATTTTTTTTTTTACAAAAAAATTATTTATTATGTATACAATGTTCTTTCTGTGTGTATGCCTGAAGGCCAGAAGAGGGCACCAGACCTCATTACAGATGGTTGTGAGCCACCATGTGGTTGCTGGGAATTGAACTCAGGACCTTTGGAAGAGCGGGCAATGCTCTTAACCGCTGAGCCATCTCTCCAGCCCTGAAAGTGTATATTTTGTTCTTTCTTTGAGACAAAGGTCTTAGGTAGCCCAGGATTACCTCAAGTTCTCTACAAACCAAGGATGATTTGAGCTCCTGATCTTCCTACC